GCATGGACTATAGCCCACCAAAATCGTCAAAAATGGCCCATTTTTGGTCTAAATGCATGGACTATAGCCCACCAAAATCGTCAAAAAATGCAATTTAATTAGGAAACAATAAATTGTGTACAGTCGTGTCTGAAAGAACTTCATAAAAATTTATTATAAAATTGACCATTACAAAGTGTAATATTTCTTTTTGGAGCGAAATCCTCTCCCTGATTGATTTGCCTTCTTGTTCGGCCATTTGTTGCCTTGGAAGTCATGCATAAAGTTCGGTTTTGGATTTCTGAAATCATTGCTTCTTTTGTGAACGTTTTGGCCTGATGAGGAGTCTTTCTGTCGAGAGTAGCCTGGGACTGGCCTTTGGTGGTCTTTAATGGAGGCTGGTAACCAGGTATGTTGTTGTCGAGAAGGCATGGATAAAGTATGTTGTTTCATGTGCTTTGTACTTGTTTCGTGTGATGATTTGTGGTTTCCTTTAGCCTGTTTTTCATTTATTTTTTCCCAGTCATCCACTATTCTCATTAGACTGTCAGATACCCTTCCTTTTCTTGGATTAATGAGCTAAAAATATTAAATAATAATTACGTCTTATTTGACAACAATTTAACTACTATTCCCTAGTTAGATCGCAAACGCTAAAACCATGGAAAACTATTAGAAATAAAGTGCTAAATTCTACTACTACTTGTGTTAATTCCTTTGTTCTTTATTCACTAGAGTGAAGTCAAAAAGACCGTGAAATAGATATTACACTAGAGTGCTCGCACTAAATGCGTGAAATATAAATACTACAAATTTCTTTGTTTCCTATTGTATAATCAACACTGTTTAGTAGTAATTAGTACTATTTGTTTCACGCTTTAAGTGCGAGCACTCTAATACACCTTAGTACTTCCTAATTGCATTATTTTGTGTCTATTTGACTATCAAGTTTTGTTTCACGGGTTTAATGACTTCAGTCCAAACTGCAGTATTTAGTGCTAATTAGTTTAGTACATTTTCACGGTTTTAGTTTTTGTAGTGTACTATTGTAGTAAGGTGAGAGAAGTAAATTACCTCAACTGTCCGAGAAGCACTTGGCTGATCCTGYAGAGATTGGTTGTTGCAGTATTCCACAGTTCGCTGAAACAAATATAATGGAACAATCACCCCCAAAACAAACACACATTTGCCATTTTTTCCCCAAGGGTGTGGAGAACGGGGATACACTTTCACAGATGACAAAACAAATTAACGACAGAAATAGAGGAAAATGAAACTCCTCAAATCAACAGCGTAACGTTGTTTCTGTTTCTATTTGGCGTCAATGTTTTTCGTTCGTCACCTTGAGAAACAAGACATTGAAATTCGAGAGRCACTCACTCAAAACTTGAAGAACATTGATTGCTGACAATAGATTTATTCGCGGTTCTTGAAAACTGGCTGTGCCTTTGCGTTGAAGCGAGACGACCGTTGAGTGTGCAATGATAGAAACCTGTGAATAATTTTCTGTAAGTGTGAAAGAAGGTTTCTATCATTGCACGCTCAAAACTATCGTCTCGCTTCGAACGATGCAAAAGCACGGCTACCTTTCAAGATGGCGCATGGAACCCATGGAGGAAACTGTTTATATTTCTCTGTCTTTACACCAGCAGTTTCTTACCGTTTCATTGTTCTTCCATCCTTTCCTTTTCCTTTCTTTTCTTGATTCAAAGGTAACAAGAAACGGCAATTCTTCAGTGTGGGTCTTTTTCTTCTTCCTCTTTTTCTTTTTTGAACCTGTCAAGTTAGCAGACTTACAAGTATTATTGTTAAATATTATACCCAAAACCTCAGATTTATTTACGATTTTTCTAACTTTCTTTAATCAGCATGGACGCTAATGGACGATTGGTGATGATGATAACGATGATGATGATAGTGATGATGATGATAATGATAATGGTGGTGGTGATGATGGTGATGATGATGGTGATGATAATGATAACGACGATGATGATGATAATGATGATGATAATGATAATGATGATGATAATGATGATGGTGATGATGATGGTGATGATAATGATAATGATGATGATAATGATGATGATAATGATGATGGTGATAATGATGATGATGATGATAATGATGATGTTGATGATAATGATGATGTTGATGATGATGTTGATGATAATGATGATGATGATAATGATGTTGATAATGATGATGTTGATGATATTGATGATGATGATGGTGATGATGATGATAATGATGATGGTGATGATGATAATGATGATGATGATAATGATGATGTTGATGATGATGACAATGATGATGACAATTACATCAGTTTTACCTTGCTGAGGCATATCATCTATGCGAAAACCTACAAAAACAAATGCAATAATCAGGRRRAAAAAACGCAACATCGATAACTGCGATAACATCAACTAGTCCTACCAATAGGTGGAACCTCCACGTCCTCAATACGAAAATCTCCAAATTCGATTTCATTCTCTACGATYCCAGTACCTCTAGCAATACTGCCGTCCTTCACACGCCCTGCTATATAGTCACAATACCCTTCACCTTTTGGACGCCATTTACTTGGCCAAGACTTTCTCCGTTTGCTGTGTTCTATTGTGGAATCCTCATCCTKATCATGTATTCTTTTTCTGCTTTCTTTTGAAGGAGTTCTTTCATTGTCTCGATCATGTGTTCTATTTCTGAAATCTTCTTTTTCTCGATTAAGTGTTCTACAATAATCTTCAATATCTTGATTATAGGAAGGAGTTCTGTCGTGTGTTCTCGTTCTGTATTCTTCTTGTTCACGATCAACTGTTCTATTTCTGAATTCTTTTTCTCGATCAACTGATCTATTTATGTATTCTTTTTCTCGATCAACTGTTCTATTTCTGTATTCTTTGTCTCGATCAAATGTTCCATCTCTGTATTCTTTGTCCCGATCAACTGCTTTATTTCTGGATTCTTTGTGTCGATCATGTGTTCTATTTTGATCATCAATTCTAGGAGTCTTGACGAAGGGGCGATCTAAGTGTCCATCATATCTGACAATGTACTGAACAGTTGAGAAGGATACGCTCTCCAACGGACGCTCCTCTGGGCATTCCTAGAGAGGTAAAAAAAAAACAGTTACCAAGCGTGTGATTTCACTGTTATCGAAAAGGACAAGACGTGTGATATAACTTACATATCCATAGTGTCCACTAGCAGAACAGTTATAGCAATACACTGGTCTGGTAGAGTCTTTAGGTTTCTCAGCACGAACAGGGGGGATTCCCGCAACTGTCTGAAATACAACCAACCAACCAATCGATCAATAGGCGATTAGTATTATGGCGTTATTTACTACAACTGCCAGAATGCTTTGCCAACTTTCTTTTGTAATGCAATTATTGCCAATTGTTTTACTAATCGCTAAGGGGATTAAAAATCTGAATAACAATGAAAATGCGCAAGGGTCTCTGGTAGTTGTAGTAAAGTTATGCCATCATGCAAACATTGGCCTATTGATCCGACATTCAACAGCCTTTTTAACTCCAACTGGATCATAAAAATTAAAACAAGGATCTATTCTGACATCTTACTACAAACTCTCTTTAACGTTACAGCAAAACACAATGTTACATTTTTCCAAAAATATTTACAATAGAAACTTACAGTTCGATGATACTGTCTCCAGATATCAGCACATGTCTACATATAAACAGATACTTAAAATTCAAATTCAATCTACATCTTAAGCAAAAAGACCATGAAGATCATCTATGACTGTTAGCTTACATTGCTATGATGACCATTCTGATAGCACCTGCGACATTGGTCCGTCCAGCGCACACGAAACTCTTGACACTCCTGTTAAAATACAGCTAGGTTAATAAATATAATGTATGATATAAATGTAGCATGCTGTGCTCTAAGATCAGAGGAGCCTTAGAAGATACAGCAAGGTTAGTGTAGTTTAGATTCACTACTTACAAACGAGCGATGTCCTGGCTGGAAGCAGTTAAAGCATAACTGGTTTGGACATCTTGTTCTGATATGTCCTGGTGTACCACACAAGACACAGGAGATTTTCTGGAAAAGTAGGTTTCTTAATGAATGATTGGTTTGAATTAGAGCTTAAAGGAATACTAGCTTGGAAGTTAATACTTGGAAGTAAATAAAAATTTACAATCTATAAAACTAAATTCATCATCATCATCATCATCACCATAATCATCATCACTATCATCATCATCATCATCATCATCATCATTGTAACCATCATTAATGACCATTAACATGATCACAAACATCTTTTACCTTAGGTATCGGACAATCCCTTGCCAGATGTCCTTTCTCATTACAGTTGCGGCATCTTTTGTGAGGGTTACCAGTATTAGGAGCATAATATCGCGCAGCTCCACGTTTGCCTTTGATTTCATCCTGTCAGACAGAAAGTATTTTATTCGCTTTTTAGACAGATAAGTGTCAATCAGTCGCCAAAGCAACCAGTCAGTCATTTCATCAGTTAGTTAGTCACTTGTTCATTCAGTCATTCATTTATTCAGTCAGTCAGTCAGTAAATCATTATTTTAGTCAGTCAGTCGCACAGTTATGCAAAGAGTCAGTCAAACTCAGATATATATACATATTATAATACATCAATAATTTACTATCATAAGTCACATTCCAACCATTCGCAGATAAATGACCTACCTCCATATCTTTGTCAATCAAATCCCAGTTTTCTAGAATAGATATGATATAACTATTTAATCAAAGAAAGGAACCTTATTTATCTTTAGGATCATTTGCCGTATGAGACAAAAATGAGAGATATAACCAGCTTATTTAAAGCATGATTGTGTGTACCATCATATGAGGTTTTTACAATACATTTACCTGGTTTACAATACATTTACCTGGTTTACCATACATTGGTTGTATGAGTATAACAAGAAGTAATGACATGCCCCCACCCTCTCTAAAACAAGTACAGTTACATGACTGTACTACAGTTTAAAAATATGTATGAAAAATCAAGTACCTTGAGAATGTTCAGGACTGCTCTCTTCCAATTCATTTTGAGATACATCATCGATAACATAATAAATATTGGTAGTGTTGACACCATTGCCATCATCATCATCATCTGAAATAATGATTATTGATGGTTTTCCACTGTCTACAATGCTGCTCTCTTGAACTGCACTTCCAGGTTCTGATTCATCTGAAAATATTTACAGAATAATAGAAAATGTTCACGATTTACAAAAAAAAAAAAAAAAAATCTGTTATAACTAAGAAGTTCCAGTGTTACAGTAGACTAGATTTATGATAGAAACAAAAGTGGATGAAATGAACAAATGAATGGATAACTGAATAAACAGAATACATGTCTATGAGAAGGTGAATGAATGGATAGTCTGTGTATATTTCTTCCCCCTACCCACCCCCCTCTTTTGGGGATTCTTCCCAACTTTTTACTCATGGGGGGAGGGGGTGGTGGGATTGGATGTACACAGGCTAATGAATGGCTGGATAGCTAATGAAGAAATACATGAATGAATGAATTATTGAATGAAAAAATGAAAGAATAGATGGTTCGAGAAGAAGGGATTTGTACCTTTTTCATCTTCGGGATTATCTTCATGATCAGGCAGTGAGAATGAATGGTGGACTTGACTATAAAGTGCATCTTCGACCTCACTTTCTACATCGCTATCACTGTGAAATSATCATTGTAAAAGATCAACATTTCTTTTCTTCTAGAGTCAACTCTYGCCTTACAGAAACCCTGCTACTATGGACTCTCGCTACTGCCAACACTAAATAACAGTCACAAGTSTGTTTGTAATAGCGAGAGTTGACTGTATGCTGCAAATCCATTCATYAACTGATCTATTAATCGTCAATTAACCTATCAAAATTTATTTCCATATAACAACAGCTGTGAGAAGATTATAAAGTAGACAGACATCCAGTCAATCAATCAGCACCATTAAACATTTATTGTCYAGGAATAAGCATTAAAATTGTGTTACCTGTCTCTCTTTTCACCATAGAGTTCATTTTCATAAGCAGCAAAAGTTTCTTCATCAAAATCGTCATCACTCATGGCTATAATAATACATTTGAAAACGTTTATATTAAGCTTATATTCAAACAGACGAAGTTTGACTTTTAAGTTTGCGTTCAGAAAGTGAAGTGTTTTATACACATAGGAATCATGCCTATATCGTATGAAATCAAACCCATCTTTTACATAAATCTCAATGGGAAGATCTCATACTTATTATTCCCGACAAGAAAATGGCTTTCAAGTCAAGAAGAACTGCCAAACAACGAAATTTAATACCCCTTACGTATTGTTAGATGTTGTAGCCAGCGAACTTTGCTTTGAAATTTCTTTACTTACCGAAACAGCTTTCCCCTTAAAAATCCAATACATCAATGGTTAATAGTTAAGATTTATAGTTTCATAGGTCTGCCAGCATTTAAGTTCATCAGAAAGCAAAACATTTAATTCAAACACAACAAAAAACACGTGAACAGTTGCTTCCTTTCGGCCATTTTAGAAGGCTCACATACCAGCGGTTTTGCGGTAGGTACACTGGGGGGAGGGGTTTGGAAATTGAATTATCAATTGTTTTTATGCGTCGGGCGTTTACTGAGAACGAAAAACCTCTTTTAATACATTCTATAATGAATGTTTAACTATACATTTGTAAATTGATGAAGTTATAACCAAATTCTTTTGTAGAATTTGCAGATAAATAAAAGTACGAAGGGGGTGGGGGTGATAGCGCTATAGCAATTCTTTTGGTCAGCTGTTTTCCACTGAAYAKTACAAATCCAAMATGGYGGACGAAGGTGAAGAAGTTGAATTAGACCTTGAATTGGAYGTCTCCTTYAACGAATTTGACGATGAATTTCCACCGAAAGCMAAAGAAGAGGTAGAAAATGTTTGTAAACAAGATTTTATTGATGCAGATAAAACAAAATGTGAAGAAAACTCAAATAAACCCGGGTCAGCGACGTCAACGCAAGAGCTGTCAAACAAACCAAGCACGCAGAACTTRAGAAATRCTCAATCTGCGGCTTTKARAAGCAGTGAATTAGACGATGAAGAAGGAGAATTGCTAAAAAGTGATGARGAATTTGATTTAGAAACTGTTAATGAGACGCAGAATTCAAATTCTAAAGAGAAAACAAACTCGCAAACTTTGCTACGAGAAAATAGTTTGAAGAGAACATTTGAAMGCTCGCTAGAAGGAGACATTGCAATGGAAATAGATGAAGAGGGATTGTTAGATTCTGATGATGAAACCTCATCTCTAAATGAAAAGAAATTGAAAACTGAAGAATGTAATGCAGAAACAGGAAATGAAGGTAGAATGTCATTTTTTTTTCATTTTCACTTTTTTGGTCTTTTTATTCAAGACTATTTGAATGTTTCAGATCAAGTTATGAAAAGCAAAAGCARGGCAGTCAGAAAGAAAAAAGATAGAAGATTGAAATATTCAATTCAAAAATTACATAATGAGAAGAAGATTCATCCAGTGATTGGCCGTCTGTATAGGCCTTTGACAGCCACTGAAGATGATACACCAGAATGCCTTGCACATCAGCTGGCAGAGAGACTGACGGAGGTAAAAATTGCTACCTTAAGGCCCGTTTACACTTGCAATTTTTGCAGCTTTGCAATTTTCTACCACTTTGTTCTCTTGCACCTCAAATCGCACGTGTAAACAGCCCTGCGAYTGTTGCGGCGATCAAGCTAAATTTCAAGCATGTTCGAAACTAAGGCAGTTGTCATGCGACAATCAYGCTGCAAATATTGCAAGTGTAAACGGGCCTTTAGCAGTGCAWTATGCACAGCCAGTGTTGGCAGCAGAAATTTCAATCTTCCCCCCTTAAAAGCTTTGTCTCTGGTTCAATTACAGATGGATATTATTTTGTTTTTTATTGTGATTTCAGAACAAAGTTGATCTACTTTTGAGGGTTGTAAAGATTCTTGGTGCTGCAAAAGCAATTGAGATGTTTAARGAAACAAGGCGCATACAGATGGAGGGAGGCATGATGACAGCTGATCAGTTCAGAAGGTACGTGAGAAAATCCACTGGTATCTTACTAGAAGGGATTGATATAATTTTGTAGCTTGGCAATTTTACTGTATGGGAACAATAGCTGCTGTTAGTGGACAGAGATGTTCTAGTTTTTGTTCAGGAACCAAAGAAAAGAGCTTGTAAACCAGCCTTTTTACTCACTGTCCAGATATTGATTTCTTTCTTCCAGGAGAACAAGTGGAGGCATATTTTTCTATATCATGAAGAGCAAAGGCTACGCAACAAAATCACAAATCAAAGAAATCTATGCTGAAGAACGCGAGAGGGAAAAGCAACTTCTAAAAGAACAAAAGCAGAGGGAGAAAGAACTTGAAGAAAAGGATTTACAAGACTTGAGAGATATACTAGCAAGAAAGCGTGAAATGCTGGCGGAGATGGAAAATTCGAATAAAATTGAGACATAACAAGCTAAATGTTGTGTTATATACATGTCTTCTCATCTCCTGACATTGGCTGTTTTACAGAGTACAGTGTATAAACCCATCAAGGATCAAGTCCATTAAGATTTTCAAGGGAACTTTCATGTCAAAATACCATAACCAAGAGCCTCTAAAAACAAAACTTAACAAACTTAAGTAAAAAATCTTTGAAGGTTTATTCTTATATAATAATTGTGAAAATATCAATAATTCATTATTTTATACAACATAGATAAGCAATTTTTTTGTGACTCATGAAATATTTAAATGATTATTAATTTCTTTGTACAATATACAATTGTTGTAGATGACGTCATTCTGAATATYGATGATGTCAAGTGACGTAAATATAGTGATGTGACGTCATCAGTTCAAGGATGTCATCTGAAATTTGACGTCATAGCTATGTCATCATTATCATCAACGAGTGTGTCTTTACGTCGTAATTACGTTTCCGAAAACGCAATGTCAATTACGTTTCCATAATCCTCACTCTAGAGTTTCTGTGGCAATTCAACAATATCATTGAGGTTGATGTATTTACGCGAAGGCCTAGTTGCGTTGAAACGGAAACGTAACCTTTACGTATTTGTTGCCACTGGGAAACGTAAATAATTGGTTCAATGGTCCTGACAAAAAGACTTTTACAGATCCATCAGTGCTGAGTCTTAAACGCAACAGAGCCGTAACTTTCAAATTCTACCATGAGTTCCGCAAGAAATACCGCAACGATCTAAGTTCTTTTGGTGTTATACGTCCATATACGAGATCGATAGCTGTCATTTAAAAGTCTTGCGGGATCGTACGTAAAAACAGACATAAAAACAGCGATACCACAAGCTCTCTCCAAAGTCATATGAGGTGGTGAATACTGAAGAATCAGCGACAAGCGGTTTTCCGTAACACYTTTACGTATTGACCAACGTAGTCCTTTTGTTGACGTGTAGCGTGCGTAGTGGACGTCTGTACAGTAGGAACGCACAATGCTGCCTGTCTTTGTTATTTACATAGTTAATAATATACAGAGAAACTAGGTTTTCTTGAAGTACCCTTCTGAAATATAACAAATACGCGAAACATTAATATAAGCCTTCATATAGAATAGTTCCATGATAACTGTATAACATGTTCATGAAGAACGGTTTCCAGTCTCTGTTTACAAGTAAAATTGTGGTAAAACCATACCACAAAATAAGCTTTATATGAAGAAATTTGTGCTACATTTTGAGTTTCATTCTTATTTTTTTTTTCATTTTGTTTTCAATTTCTCAATCCTGAATTCCATTCCTTTTTTCAATTTTCCGAATTTACAAAAAATATGTATTCCATTCAACCCATTCAGTCAACTTGCTAGTTTGCCTCTAATAATAATAGATATAATAATACAAAAGGTGTTTTACTTACTATGCCGCGCTTTGCATACAAATTTAAATCTAAAGTCGCAAGGATAGTCGTTCCATCTTCCGTTACTCTTCATCAAAGAGCAGTGTTCATTCTGGAGACTTCCTCCTTTATTTGGTTCGCCAACTGCCCAGTTCGTGTAGTTCGCTGAAGACCTAAAAACCAGTTAAACAGGTTAAAATCGAGCTGAAAAACTAGTCTGAAAACCGGTTAGCAATGAATAAAATCGCTTTATACCTGAAAATCCAGTTTTAAAAACCGGTTTAATATTAATGAAGAAAACAAACAACAAAATCAGCTTACAAACGACCTGAAAAACTAGTCTGAAAACCGGTTAAAACAGGTTATAATTAATAAAATCCCTTTAAACCTGAAAAACCAGTTTTGAGAACCTGTTTAATATTAATGATGAAAACAAACAACAAAATCAGCTTACAAKCGACCTGAAAAAATAGTCTGAAAACCGGTTAAAACAGGTTATAATGAATAAAATCCCTTTAAACCTGAAAAACCAGTTTTGAGAACCTGTTTAATGTTAATGAAGATAACAAACAACAAAATCAGCGGACGCACCTGTCAATCCAAGTCCAATTTCCCTCGCGCCTGATATCATTGAGTCCAATCCATGCAAAACTACCTTTTATAACATTATCTGCTATAAAATCCTGTTCTCTCTGCGAGTTAACCGAGGCYAATGCAGCACCATATTGATGACACTTGATAAAGGCTTGCTGCCAAGTATGATGGTGTTTTCTTAGCGAGTAACAGTTAAGGTTGTCACCTTCYTTTAGTGGAATCCAGTGATAAGGGCACTTCGCGGCTGAAAGGAAACAACACGTCGATTAATCAATTAGACCAATAGCGATGCTAATGATATAATAACGATTTTCGATTTATGCGGGAGTTTTTGCAGCCGCGCTCTTGGAAACGAGGTATTTTGGAACATTTGTTGCAAAGCTGCGCGCACAGACTACAAAATATTTCAATGCGCCCAGGCATGTCGGAAATCAAAGGAGTTTCATCTRGAAGTTATTGTTTTGTTCCTCGTAAAGAGCTGCRTTCGCATGAAATACGATGGAGAAAATTAGCTTTTTTATCCATCATTAACATACGTTCAAAAACGCAATAGACGCCGTGAAATTCAGTGCGTTTACGCACCCTTCTAACGTCCTTCAAGCTCAAATAAACAATAAGAAACAGATAGTGGAAYGTGAAAACGTAGCACTGAAGAAGAATGATGACTGKAATTACATGGTACTAAATCCGCCATGCCATATGGCAAAAGAATGTAAACAACCTAAAAAMCAAAASGMACGCAGCCCGTCAAGCTTGACTTTTTTATGTTTTGAACATCCCACTGGGAATTTTGCCCTCCAGTATGGGTGGATTTATTACCATGTGGCGGTAAATACAAACAGCCTTTTGACATTACTGCCTCGTCTTTGTGGATGCGTTTGTCTAACGTTTTCGCATTGTTCTTCGTCCCCAAGGGAATAAAAGGCGTAACAAGTTACGAAGGGTCTTAATATGAATACAAGCTGAATCATGTAGCTATATTTTCATTCATAGTAATTCTTCATCTTTCTACTTTCGTGATCAATGTTATCATTAACCTGTATTCAAAAACCGTTAAAGTCTACTTAAAACCACTTGATAGCATATCTGGTTGATCATTGATAATCTTTTAGTACGATACTCGGTCAAGAGGTCTCTTAGAATAGCCAAAGGGAGGCTTTTAAAATAGATACGAAGCCTGCATTTTGTTAATGTCATACTAATTCCTTATTGACAGCCTAGAAATTTCTCATCATGTTAGTACATGATCCTTAAGACCTTTTATTTCTACCATGGGAAGGAAATGAAGAGCTAAATACGTCCTCCATACTGAATCTTACATACTCCAACTTCAAAACAACTTATTAATCTATTAAATCTGGGCGCTCATCATAGCAGACATGTGAGGATTCATCGTTTGAGCAAATTATATTGTTTCCATTCGAGTCACCTAGGTCATTTGATTTCACGCACTTACACATCAAGTCCGTGAAACAAAATCTGTAATTGTCAAGGTGTAATTGTCAAATGGGCACAGAAGCCAACATTGGAATAGCCCACTTTCGATATTCTAGCTGAATGGCCACGAAAGGACGAATTGAAGACGAGGCTCCTTGGACATAACAGAATTATTTGCTGTTCCTCTGAGCCTCATTTTCATTCCCTTTGTTCTTGTCAGCAAGGATATAGAAAGTGGCTTATTAGCGATTATTAAGTTATATTAATCAAATCACAACATGTAAAAGTCAATTAAAGTGAAATAGTTAACTAGTATAAGTTTAGCCAAGCACGAGACCTATGTTTAATATTTGATATTTGAGACATACGACAAGTGAAGGGCGACGCCAAACATCTCTGCATATTATACAGTACAGTAATCTTAAAAGACAGACAATCACGTGATTTACTAAATATAGAACAATCACAACAGCCTCGTTTCCATGCGGTCCAAAAAGTCAGAGCATAGTCACGTGGTAGTATATTTTTGGTCGAAAACGGAAGTAGACACACCGGAAGTGGCCAGGTTTTTTGAAACACTGATTCTTTGATAAGCGTTTGAACATTGAATTGAATGTTGTCTTTTGCATTCTATGAAACCTCAATAGATAAATTCGAAAAACAGTATATTGTTGTCGCATAAACATTGGAATTGGATGGAAGGGAGGGGAGGGAAGGGAACTAGTGTCATGTCCCATACAATTGAATCACAGAGCTTTTCTTATGACGCAAACCTTTCCCACTAGTACAAATGTATGGTAGAAAAAGGCTTACGATCATAAYTTGACTATCTGTTTAACTGTCATTCGACTCTCTTTGAAAAGGAAATCCTCTGACGCTAGCGAGGAGCAGTCGGAAATTTCTAGATTTGTTTTTCCTTTGCCTTACCGATCCAAATCGTTTATATCTTCCGCTAAACAGCTTTAATTTCGTTGAATATCTCATCACTTAACGCAGAAGTCAACCAATTAGGATATTTTTAATGACACGAGCTATTTCTGCTATATGATACTGTCCAGACGATGCTTACCCTCAAGTGAAATAGCTTGAGGAAATGATTGATAAACTATTTGTCTGTCAACTAGCTTATACAATATCATAACCAATTGACTTTTAGGTGAATTCAAAACAACCCTATTCATAATAGAATTCATAATAATAGTTCTAGCCTCGTTACTGTGCAGTCATTCTAAAGGAAGTTGGCTGCAATAGTGTGCAAGGAATACGCCAAAAACTACGAACAATTCGAGTAATTTAAAATTTCTTCTTTGAATGACTTTGTTATTGTCTGAATGTTTTAGTCAGGCCGCGAGAATGCATACGAGTGTGGAATGTGTTAACGTTGGGGGGGAGGGGAAGGGCTATAATGTTAGGAGGTGGGAAAGGGACAAGGGGGGAGGGGAAGGGGTTTTTGTTTTTCAAAGCTTCGTACTTATAATGAATTCATTTATTTCCGCTGCTCACCAATATTTACATCTTTAATCAAATTCTTATTTACATCAGATCAGTGAATCAATAGTGCCGAGCTCATGCCTCTATATATCGAACAGACCCCTTTARAGCGACCACTGACCGCTATAAGAGGTTATTTTGTAATCTAACGTATTAGCTCGGACTGTGCATGCTCTACGATATTTATAGAATCCATATATGAACAAAGTTTTTCTCTTTGAATATAAGTCCCTTTTGTT